TAAGTTAATGTAAATAAAATTGCGATAGGTAAATCGAAAAAATATGTTGAATGTACCATAAAGTAATAATAATTAATATGTGTAACTTGTATAATTATTTTTTTATTAACATTTACTAAATTGTCTGGACTAATTTTTGACTGTTTCGGACTAATTCCGGATTCACTAGTTGTTCACAAACCGTATAGAGTTCGGATTTTTCCGGATTAATTGCAGGTGACAAAAACCTGACCATAAACCGCATTGTTTCGGACAAATTTCGGATTAGTCCGAAATCTGTCCGGTTTTTTAACCAGGTGTTTTTTTGCAAAATTAAAAATAAAAAAAAATTTAGTTAAACTTGATTAATTTATTAGAAAGTACTCTCACTTTATGTCCGCAGGTGAGATCTACAATTTAAAAAAAATTCAACCCAAAAGCTCTTCATGATTTCGAGATATTTATGAAAATGTGATGTTTACACACACATACTTACTAGGGTGTCCCAAAAAAATAAAAAGTTTTTTTTTATTGGGTCTCATCCCCTAAAAATCTTTCAATTTGTGTAAAAATAAGAACACAATATTTGGAAATAAAAATTTTTAATATTAACCCGTGGTTCAGAGCCTTTAGACCATAAAAACGTTAAAAATTTAGTGGTTTTTCATTTTTAACATAAATATAAATGTAAAAATATAATGATTAGGGTGTCATTGTAAAGATAATTAAATTACTTTTCGATCCATATGTCATAGTATAAGATTTAATGAAAATTAAGAGTGTTACAGTTGATTAAAGATCAAATTTCATGAAAATTTTGATGATTTTTAGACACTTAAGTAACTAGTACTTCCTTTACATTAAACAGTAATAGTATATTACATTATAAGGGCAGAAAGTTCAAAATTCCTGCACTGCGCGAAATGATGCCCGAGGCGAAGCCGAGGGCATTATCGTGTAGTTTAGGGCTTTCGAATTTCTGCCCGTGTAATGTATACTATTTTTCTTTATATACGGTCGAAAGTACGCTGGGTAATTTATTTTTTAAGAAAATTGCAACCGAGTTTTATTTGACAGCTGGCCATCTTTATTTACTTTTGCTCCTCGCTTCAACGCCTCTAGCGGACACTCGTGAAGCTCTGGTTTTTTCTCTGTCTCTCTTTTGCAAACAATATTCGCCTGCCCCGAAATTTGATGCACGAGCAAAGCGAGTGCTTCTGGTCGGGGGCAGGCACGAAAAAAAATGTGAAAGATAAATTAATATTATATTTTCAAAAGAATTTTTCTGGTGGTACAAAATTAATTCTATGTTTCTAAAATTCTAAACATTCTAATGAAAACACTTTCATTATTTCTTCAAATTATTACAATTTTATAATAACATTTTGGCACGTATTAAAAAAGAAATTACAAAATTATTAATTATTTTATTTTTGTTTTTAATGTTTATTAAAATAATTTTGAAAATAATTATATCAGCAAAAGATTTCGTTCATTTCAATATTCAGAGCTTGTAGATAATAAATTTATAAAGTATAAAAAGTTTTCTTGATAATTTTTTTTTCTCTATATTGCGATAACAATTACTCGTTAAATTGTCATTGAACTCGAAATTTTCTTATTTACCGACAGTGGTGTTTTTACCGACAGAGAATTCTTTTACTCCCGCTGTAATAGAGGTTGGGTATGAAAATCAACCAAAGCACAAATGTTTGACTTTCTGCTGCGAAATCGCAGCGGGAAATACGTACTTTCGACCGAGGTATTAAGAAAAAAATATTTAGATTTTAATTTTTTTATTGAGAGTCTGTAACATTACAAAAATCCGTAATTTAATCGTCGATTAAATTCGTCTCAAAATCCGTTACCCGATTTTGAGACGAATTCGATCGACTTTTATGAAGTTCTCCGCCATTTTAAAAATTTGAAAAACTGACATTGGACTCTAAATCAGCGACTTCAGTATTTTTTTATCACTGATTTTAGTAAGTTTAGTGGTTATATCTAAATTTATTGTTTCAATTTTTGCTCCAAATGTTGAAGGAATGATAAGAATAAAAAAAATAGTTTCGTTCACTAAATCTAGTGTATAATTGTCATTTTCAATCAAATCGAGGTCCACAAGGGCTAAAAATTTTCGTAATGTTACAGACTCTCAATAAAAAAATTAAAACCTGATTATTTTTTACTGTTTAATGTAAAAAAAGTACAAGTTACTTGAGTGTCTAAAAAATAAAAATCATCAAAATTTTCATGAAGTTTAATCTTTAATCGACTGTAACACTCTTAATTTTCATTGAATCTTATACTATGACTTATGGATCAAAAGGTAATTTAAATATCTTTACAATGACACCCTATTCATTATATTTTGACATTTATATTTATGTTAAAAATGAAAAAACACTACATTTTTAGCGTTTTTATGGTTCAAAGGCTCTGAACCACGGGTTAATATTAAAATTTTTTATTTCTAAATATTGTGTTCTTATTTTTACACAATTTGAAAGAATTTTAGGGGATGAGACCCAATAAAAAAAAACTTTTTTTTTTTTGGGACACCCTAATACACACACACACACATACGGAATGACATTTTTTAAAAATGTCATTTTTGAACTCCTGAGGTCAAATAACATAAAGATATGTCAAAAAATCGAACTCGAAAAATTTTGGTATTACAATACTTCCTCTATGAGGAAGTAAAACATGGAAATAATTTAGATAGTATAAATATTTTGATTTTTATTTGTTAAAAATGTTAAAAATAAAAATTGATTTTGAAACTTGCTTATGAGATGTCGAGGGTCATCACATTTTTTTAAAAAGGTTGTAAATATTTTTAAATTTGTAACTACTTGGTATTGAGTACTTCCAATGTACTTTTATTTCATATGCTGACTTTTAATTTTTCTAATGTAGAAATAAAATGCAGGTAGTCTTAAAACACTTGCATAAATTATTTCCTTGCATTTTAACCAACAAATACATTTCTGATAGCAAATTTTTTAAACATGAATAAAATTAGGATTCGCCATCACTAAAATTTGATAGGATGGACAAGAACGTAAAACTTAAATATGAAGACCAAAATTAGATTATTTCGTTTTGCATCCGAGGAGTAGTAATAAATTTTTAATATTTACAAACTTTATAGAACATTGAGATAAAAATGTGGTGACTTTTATACCTTTCTTAGGTGGGTTTTAAATTTAATTTTTATTTCTTGTTCTGGACATATTTACAAATTAATTTATTAAGGGGAGAGTAGGCTACATTGAACTAGCGTCAACAGTGAACCACTTAAATTTTCTGAGAAATGACTAAGTGAAATTTTTTCTTATTTAAAATATAAGTTAGTTTTACCGAAACAGACTACGTTTAAAAATTTCCGGCACGTTGGTTTATTATAAAAAAAACTAAACTTCAACTGTCACTTTTGCTACCTAACCTGACATCAAAATATATTAATCTCCTAACAAATAATAACTATTTAACAACAATTTTCTATTTTTTTGAGTGGAAAATAAGATTTTTTACAATGTGTAAGTGGAAATATTATTTTCGAAGTAAACTGTAGTGTTTCATTAGAAGTGGTTCAATGTAGATACACAATTGGAACAACACGATTGCAATTTTTTTAATAATTAAATTAGCGAACGTACTTTCGACCGTATGTAAAGAAAAATAGTATACATTACACGGGCAGAAGTTCAAAAGCCCTAAACTACGCGCATGGTGAGTCTCGATAAAGTTCAACCCAAAAGTCTTGCCACTAAAATTTTTTTACAGATATTTGTTCACACGTGAAATTAGAATATTTTTCGCCTAAAATGAAAATCCTCTGTCGAGGGTTTTTAAAATGGACTCGATTTTTCTCGTTTTTTGTAGGTTAATTGCTGTTATTTCATTAAAAATTGAGATATTAAATAAATTTTTTTTATTTCTCTCCTTTAAGGTCTCGTGAACAATTTCCCATAGATAAAGATTTATTTTTTTTATTAATTGTGGTTAAATTTTAAAAAATTCTCAATAAATCTTGTTTCTTTGTTTCTTATTCTTGAACACTTGTAGTAAATTTAATAATTTTTTTTTATTTTGAAGATAGGAAACGTAATTTAAAACACATTACAATAGTATGCCAGTTCCTACATGTGAAATAACCCAAAAATCGCAAAGAAACAAGATTTTTTGAGAATTTTTTTAAATTTAAACACAATTAATAACAAAAATAAATCTTCATCTATGGGAAATTGTTCACGAGACCTTAAAGGAGAGAAATAAAAAAAATATATTTAATATCTCAATTTTTAATGAAATAACAGCAATTAACCTACAAAAAAACGAGAAAAATCGAGTTCATTTTAAAAACCCTCGACAGATGATTTTCATTTTAGGCGAAAAATATTCTAATTTCACGTGTGAACAAATATCTGTAAAAAAATTTTTGGTGGCAAGACTTTTGGGTTGAACCGAGGGGCAAACAACTAATGAATTATGGTGTACACTTGTATTGAATTATCCTGAATTATCGTGAATTACCTGAATTATCCTAAATTATCGTGAATTACCATGAATTACCTTGACTTATCTTGAATTATCCTGAATTATTGTATTAAGTGTACACCTAAATCCTGAGTTGTTTGCCCCTCGATTACTATGCATTATCCTAAATTACTGTGAATTACCGTGAATTACCATAAATTATCCTGAATTATTTGAATTATCCTGAATTATTGTATTAGAAGTACACCAAAATCCTTAGTTGTTTGCCCCTCGCCTCGGGTTGAACTTTATCGAGACTCACCGTACGCGATGATGTCCTCTGCTTTGCCTAGGGCATCATCTCGCCTAGTGCAGGAATTTCGAACTTTCTGCCCTCATAATGTAATATACTATCTGTTGAGAGCATAATGCTAAGTACGTCGAAATCACCATAACATTTTATATTTAACAATTACAATTTTCATTTACTTTTATTCATTACTACTTAATTTATATATAATTTTTTAATTTATTACCAGCACCAACTCGTTCCTTTTTCTCGGAATATCCTGGTCCCCACTTGTTCAGTGAAAAATTAGTCAAATGTCGTAATGGATCGCTTAAGTTTCCAAGAGAAAATTTTTCGGTGGCAAAGCGTGCAATTCCTTCTTTGTAAAGATAAATCGTCAGTGGATAATAAGATGGTACACAAACGTATAATCGAAGATCAAATTTATAACCGCCGATTAAAAGAGGATTTTCTATATATCTTTGTACTACTGCCACACTGTCATAACTCAAATCACTTAATTTCTGTGATAAAATAAATAATTCCAATATCTAAAATTTTTGTTTTTTTATCTTAATAATAAGAATTAAATATGAAGTTTATGGGGCTATTAAATAGTAAATTACGTAAAATTTTTTGTTAGAATAGCTAGAACCTTTTAAAATGTTGATGTATATTCATTTAAAACTTTCGCACTTGCTAAAAGTAGGCTGATTAATAGTTTATTAAGCAACAAGGGGACAAAGGCAGCCATTTGTTTACGGTGATTTTTTTGACACGAGTGAGGGTCGAGGGCACCGTAGGCACCCCGAGACCGAAACGAGTATCACAAAAACCATCGTAAACAAATTAGGCTGCCTTTATGCCCGTGTTACTTACGATACTTTTTATTCCTAGTGCACAAAAGTAACGATTTCAGATAGCAGAAGACAGGGAGCAAAAGCTATTTACTTGTTCGACTTGTATAAACATGGCGTTCAATTTCTCCATTGGGCAAAAATAACGCATCGGACCGGCTATTATTTTTGTACATGGGAGAAAATGGACGCCATTTTTGTGCATGTGGGATAAAATAGTATATTAAGCAACAAGGAGACAAAGGCAGCCATTTCTTTACGCTGATTATTGTGACACAAAAATCATCGTAAGTAGAGTCTACAATGAGAGAAGGTGCGCATCGATGTAGACGACAGGGAGTAAATGTCATTCAATTGTTGGACTTGTATGAAAATTGCGTTCATTTTTTTCCTAGGACAAAAATAACGCATGGGAACAGCTGTTTTTTATCCTAGGAAAAAATTGAACTCCCACTGAAAAAAATGATATTGTCGATTTTGTCATACTCGTATAGTTAGGACGTATAGCTGAAACAGCAATACTGTATTTCTGTTCTTCAAATACAGTATTGGTGTTCTTCACATACATATTACTTTCTCTCACATATATATGGCTGTTCTACACTGCGTATAGCTAAAACAGCAATACTGTATGGCTGTCCCATATCCACCAATATAATATGTGAGTATTGGCCATATTTATGGCAGAATCATAAATATATTTTTTTCAGTGGCATTTTCCTTTCAATTTTTTTAGTTCTGAATAAAAATCAAATATGTTTAGTATTCTTAAATATCAAATCACTATTTTAACAATTGTTTAAATAAATAATTGTTGTCATTTATTAACTTTTTTCTAGTGTACCTAGAAAGACGCAATTTTTTTCTAATTTTGTAATTTTTGGACCTTCTTATATCTTCTTGCACGGAGAAAAATGGTGCTGAGTTTCTAGTAAAAGTTCCTATAGAATAGTAATAATTCTACTTTTATATTAAAAATTACTATTCATTGTAAAATGTACTTTGCATGAAGTGAATATTACTATTTCTGGTAGTAAAAATTACTAATAGTAATTATTACAGTAGCCACTATTAAAAATTGCTTTAAGAATTTTAATTTTTACATCGTCATTGTAAATTTTATTAAATTTTGTATTACTTTTTACATTCGATATGTTGTAAATATTACTCGAGAGAAGTTCTAATAATTAATACTCGGAAAATAAAGATTACTTCTGGAAGAAACAACTTTTACTATTGCAGAGCAAACTTTTTACTCGAAAAAGTAGTAATCCGTACCACTACTACCATACACCTGTGTGTGTGATCACGTCACTATTGTCATGCGCAGCGATCGTAGCCTGACGTCAAAGTCATTAAGATTATAATACTATACTCCAAAGTTTTATATATTAAAATGTACAATACTAGCTTTGTATAAAATTATTTAGAACATTTATTGAAATAATTCTTTTTTATTTTATACAAAATCAGAATAAGGAATCTAAGAATAATAATCTAATAATTTAATAAATAAATTAAGTAATTTTAAATTAATGATATCTAAGGGAAGTGTTCCGGTTGTGGGCACCCTTTTGTTTTTGCCTCATAACATTTGTCCATGTGCATATTATACAAATAATATACGAATACTAGTGTACGAATTTAAAGCTAGAGGTCTAAGGTGACTGTCAGTGAAGGAATTAAATTGATTCCTTTTAATAAAAAAGTTTTATTAGAAATTTAGTGAAATGGGAATTTTTTGACAACAAACATTTTGTACCCGGTTGTGGGCACCCTTGAAAAATCCGCTAGAAATGAAAAAATATTAAAGGAAACCAACACAAATAAAGAAGAAATGAAAGTTTCTTTATTTTAAGAGAATTTACCGGGATAAAGAACAAAAATGATGACACGTTTTCACACTGTGCTCATTGCTAACAAAAGCATAATGCGAGGGGTATTTCACTTCCGAATCATGCAGGTATAATGTTTAAAATCATACGAATAAAGAATTATTTCTGAAATGACAGTAATTAAACAGTGTGCGAATAGTGTCAATAGTGCGAGTTAACGTAATGAATTCTGAAATGACAGTAATTATGCTGCCTCTACATTGACGTGAACGTGAACGCGACGTGCTGACGTCACAATGTTAACCAAATGGGTGACGTCAGCACGGCACGTTCACGTCGCGTCGCGTACCCATCGGAATGTAGATCCAACTTTAAGCAGTGTGCAAATAGTATCAATAGTGCGAGTTAACGCAAATAGTGTAGTATTAATATTACTGCAGTATTAAATACTGTAGTCTAACGTCCTTGTAGAGCAGGCTGATTCGGAAGTGAAAAACCCCTCGGCATAATGCTTGCATGTGAAGTAGCTAGTACGCATACCATAACGCACTTCTAATGCACTGAACGACTATATTCATCGCATTTAATGGAGCTTGCGGCTGTCACTTTCCTTGGCAGAAAGTTTAAATAGATGAGACAGTAGTTCTCATCATTGTCAGATGGTAGAGCCTCCTTAACATAAAGGTGCCCACAACCGGGAATGACAGTCATTTTTTAAAAAGACCAACACATTTTATGATGCAGGATTTTGGTTAAACACGAAGGTAAATCACAAAATATAATGACAACACTCCAAAAAAAAAATTAAACCCTTTTTTCTGAACGAATCTACACCCATATGTTGCTCTTCGAAAACAATACAAAATTACTTTTTTATTTATTTAATGCAAATTTTCTTTATTATGCTCACAGCTATTACACAAATGCATATATTTGTTTCGTTATCAATACGAAAAGTCCGTATTGTCAACGAACACGACTTGCAATACTTAGATCAGTAAAGTCTGCTTGCCATCGAAGTTTACGTAGGGGTGCCCACAACCGGCGCACTTCCCCTACTGTCATTTAATATTATTATTACTATTATTGTTATTAATACCATTATTATTATTATTATTAATGTTTATATTTCAATTCAGTAACTTGTCTAAATAAATAAAATTTATGATTCACTTTATCAAAACCCATGTAGCACGTAATATTTCAGTAACATTATAATAATATTATAGTAAAATTACAGTAATGTTACCGTAAATTGTTCAGAGCAAAATTAATTTAAAATTACAGTAATATTACACGAGCATGGAAAGTAAATAAAAATAGCTCTAAAATGCATATCTAATGAATAAACAAGAAATTTTTTTTTATTTTATCATTAGAAAAAAAACTTTTTTGCAATGTTTTCATAAGCGTGTAATATTACAGTAATGTCACAGTAACATTACCGCATAATATTACTGTAATGTTTATTTATGTATTAGTGTTTACGGGCACAAAGCCCTTTTGTACAAAGTACTTAACAATATTAAAACTAATCAACAACAAGTTAGCATAAAGAATGTTTAAACGTTATTATTGTTTTCAAAGACATCTAACTTTAAGTTCCTGCAAAATTTGATCATTGGTGTTGAAAAAAGTGTAAATTATTAGTAAGTAAGTGTGCTGCTATACAAAACAAACATACGATAAAAAGTATAGACTGAAATTTAAATTTAATAGTCATAATTATATGAGAGGCACAACACAGTTTAAGTTTGGCTCGTCGATGGCGGAGTGGGGAGAGTCGGTTTCTTTGTGTTGACAATGCGTAGTTCCCCATTCGAGTAAGACATCCGCAGTCCAGTCTCTCCTTTCGACAACCTATCGTTCAACAGGATTTTCATTTCCTTGAAATGTTGAAGTTGTTGCTGTGTTCTGTCCTGCGATATCGAAAGATTTGGTGGCATAGAGTTCGGCAATGTTGTTTTGCTCAATTTTAATTTCACGAATGCAGCTATCACCAATTTGACAGCTGTCTCGTCTGTCAGAGAAACTCGTAAAGGACGGGGCTGTGGTGACATCTGTGGGCGTTTACCAAGACGAGCTAGCGATATTATTTTTGTAGTATCTTGTGGTAATAGCGCTTTCAAAATATTATTTGTTAAAGATGAATAGTGATTTAAATTTAATTCTTGTTTACTAACTTTTTATTGTAAATTAAATAATATTATATTTGATTTACGCCTGACACCATCAGATAGTTCATTTGAACATGTTGTTACCACATTTTTAACATCTCGGACTATTGTTTATGGATTTTTATGAAGTTTACACATTTTTCAGGTAAAAAAGTGTACTTTAAAATAAAAATAATGTTAATAAAAAAATTAGTTTTTAAATAAAAAATTTTTTTTTTAAATTGTTAAACAATTTTTTTATTATTTACTCATCTCTGAGAAGTGTTATTAACATATTTGGAATCCTTATGAATTCACCTTTAATTTAATAAAACAAAATTTATGAAGACTCATCTGGTTCCGGAGATATTGGAGTTTTTGTAAAAAAGACTAGCTGCAGCAACAAGGTGAGCTTCGAATAAAAACCCAAAAGTTCTTGTCCATCCAATTTTTTTTGGTATCGTTTCAGTAAAGCCATACAATAATTTAAAGACAAAAGTTTTCGATTTTTTTCATTTCGGATATTTAAAAAATCTTCATTTGTTAGTGAGTTAGGCAAATTCTACCAAAATTGAGTAGAAATAGACTAAACTTCGATAATATAGAAAAATTTAACTACAAACATCTAAATTTCAAATGGTTCTGCAGATTTTCGGTATAACTGGATACGAATTCT